AACAAGAGGTGACGTTAGAGCGTACGTGTCATTACTGCAGGGAAGGATTGTGCTGAAGCTGCTGTAACATACAACACTTTATTTTTAATACATCATCAAGCAACGACGGGAAGAAATCCCAAGACTGGATCACCATCACAGATATATCAGTGCCAGCATCACTGCTCACCTCAACAACGCTTTCTGTTAAAGGACTGCTACCAGTTAGAAAATTAAAGAAATGAACAGGAACAGCTGAGAAGCATCCCAAAGAGCACCGGAAATACAATTCAGCCTGTTCCTGTCATTCACGTCTCGTTTGAAACGATGATGATGATGAATATAGAGAGTAGAAGTTAGCTGCTAGTGTCGCTGCTGTGGGCTGACAGAAACTAAACCCGAGCTAGCATCCAAGTGACCAAACGTTTCTCCCACAAAACGCTGCGTCCAGATGAACAGAACCAACTTTTGGAGATTTGCTTCCCTGAATGATTGAGCATCGAGTCTTTAAATCCGAGGTCCACCGAGCTGCTTCTTTAAATGTACCGACCGAGGATGTTCACAAAGTTCTTCCATAATTTGCTGCTGTTCCGGTGTCTCCAGTTTATCTGCGTTTCGTTGGTAAAATGTTCTCGAGACGACAGTTTTCATACTTTTTTAATTGCCACTGTTCAGGCCCATTTATTACCACCATCCTATTCAGCGCCGTCTCACACCACAGCTGCCATTCATGGATCATTTTGCCAAACAGGAACTTGACGCAAACAGGCTGGTTGTGTATATGTTTATGGTCGCCACATAACACGGAAATGCTGCTAGCTAGCTGTGGAGGAATCAAAACAGTAGAAGGCACGTCGGCTGCCTACTTACCCAGCGTTAAACGTAAACCGGGAGAATACGGTGGCCACAGTCAGCCAGTATTACAATTAGATAGGATATATATAACTCTTCAGTGCTAAGGATTATTATTACCGTTGTTTTTATCCTTGACATACGTTTTCACTGTGAAGAAATTCCACCCAGAGGAGATGCCAGTCCTTTCCTCTGACAGCTAGCCAGCCAGAGAGCCGCGTCAGAGCGAAACTGGCCAACCAAGATCGTCTACGCGACACGACGAGCGACTCCGTTTGAAAACAACGCCTGCTTACCAGAAGTTATAAATCCGGGTTGACCTGATTACAGATCCAAAGACATACAGCGGGGAAAATAAGTATTTGACACATCAGCATTTTCATCAGTAAGGGGATT